TTTCTGTCATATCCAAACGTGCACAGAGAGAGAGAGAGAGAGAGAGAGAGAGAGAGAGAGAGAGAGAGAGAGAGAGAGAGACTCTCTCTCTCTCTCTCTCTCTCTCTCTCTCTCTCTCTCTCCCTGGGCGCGTTCGTGAATTCAAGCTGGACATTGGCTTTCGTTTTTTTTTAATAATCAGATAATTCTTTCTTTTTTATTTTCTGTTTTTTCCCTTGTTTTTATTTATTTTTTGCCAACTACCGGTAGGTGTAGGCTCGGCCAGGGTCGGGCAACCGGTAGCGGGAGGGTTGGGCCTTGACAACCGGAGGGTACTGGTGGCTTAAAGCTATATTCTTCTCTCATCTATCTCATTTTTCTTGCTAGTACTCATCTATCTCATCCTCTCACTAGTCTATGTATAGTAGGGGGGAACACCAACCAACCCGGATCTCTCCCCAGTCCACGGGGTAGGTTGGCACCACAGGAGTGGTGCGAGAGCAAGGCCGTACCAGTCCCTCATCAGGGTGACGAGGGGTGGGCAGGCATTGCCGATGGGGGAAATCGGTGGTGCTAGAGTTTTCAACATTTTTTCTTCGCCACACAGACTGTAGCTGTCTCCAGGGGAGCGGTGGCTGAGGCTCTTCCAGCCCTAATGGGAAGAGGCGTGTGGTTAAATGTTGTAATCAAATTCATAATTGGAGCCTTGGGAACTGGGCCCATTTAAAAAAAAAAAGAAAAAAAAAAGGAAGTCAAAAAATGGAAAACACTTCGACAATCGTCAGAGAAGTGGTTTCGACATGGGTGTAGAACGGCCCACCTGCAGCGGGTCGAGTTTCAAAATCTCGGAAACGAGGTTGTGAAGGATCTCGGAAACGAGGTTGTGAAGGATCTGCGGATGGTACTGGCGCTGCCTCAGCCTCCCATGTCTTCTTCTTCTTCTTCTTCTTCTTCTTCTTCTTCTTCTTCCCCTTTTCTAACAATGAAACAGTTACTTCGCTTATCGTGGGTCTTAGGGCCTCGTTTGACACCACTTGAACTCAAGGGTTGAAGGGAAATTCTTCATTCGACCCCACCCTAACGTGGCCGCGGAGTTGTTTCTACTTTCCGGCTCTCAAGTCCCCGCCCTAGAAACTCAACTGCGGCCGGGGCAAAATCGCACTTGAACTCAAGGTACCTCTCTGGGGAGCCTTGAGTTCAAGTGCCAGCGGATACCGGCAGCACTCCAAGTGGGGCCTTTTTTTTTTTTTTCCTTTTTCCCAGCAGGCGATCCTGGTCCAGGATTGGTCAGCAAGCCGTGGAGTTCGGTTTCAAGTGTGCAGCCTGTTCAAGGGTTTCCTCAAGTGTACATGGAACCATAAATCGAGTAAGTGTAAATTAATCACAATTTCTCGTTTAGTGTGCACTTGAAACTCAAGTATTTTTACAGTTTCAAGTGCAGCCTGTTCAAGGGTTTCTTCAAGTGTGCATGGAACCATAAATAGAGTGAGTGTAAATTAATCACAATTTCTCTTTTAGTGTACACTTGAAACTCAAGTATTTTCAAGTGGTGTTGAACAAGGCCCTTAGACATACGGTGTCACAGTTGCGAAGGCGGGCTTTGTGTCGACGCCGTGAATGTCGAAAATGGTCTGACAGTTGGCGAATATTTCACGGTTTCGAAACTGGTGTGGCGAGGCCCTTGAAATTGATTTATGCGTGTTATTCTTGGGTAGTGCTCATCTTCTGTGTATCCCTCCAATTTTAACGGATGTCCCGAAGGAACGTTTGCAGGAGCTTGAGCTTTCTTTGGAAATCAATTGCGTTGCTGGTGAGTATGATAAATTCAATTGCCATTGCTGGCCTGCGGGCCTAGCTCAGTTGGTAAGGCACAGAAGTGGCATTCAGGAGGTTGTGGGTTCAATCCCCATTGGCCTCACGACGTGCCTGGGCAAGCTTGGTGTTCTTCCAGCTAAGATAACCCGTTGGCCCCCCACGCCAGCATTGGCAGGACCTTGGTTGATGTTGTTGGTTGCTATGCAGCGACAATATTGGCCATTAGACACCGCCATGTGGGTTTTGGGGGGGGGTAGGGGGAGGTGCAGTGACTGGCCATTGTTCGGCACTAGCACCTGGTCCACCGATTTCCCCCATCGGCAATGCCTGCCCACCCCTCGTCACCGTGATGAGGGACTGGTACAGCCTTGCTCTCGCACCACTCCTGTGGTGCCAACCTACCCCGTGGGCTGGGGAGAGATCCGGGTTGGTTGGTGTTCCCCCGTACTATACATAGACTAGTGAGAGGATGAGATAGATGAGTACTAGCAAGAAAAATGAGATAGATGAGAGAAGAATATAGCTTAAAAAAAAATAAAAAATTGCCATTGCTTGTGGGTCCCGTAAGCAAAGCTGGGTGCTGTTCCCCTGTTTTTTTTGTTTTGTTTTGTTTTGTTTTTGAAAAAGCCCAGGATGTTGTAGAGGCCAAGGACCAGACCCGCGGTGAGAGTTCTTATTTTCTCTGGGTAGACTGTGAGGACCCCGGGCCCATGTCCCACTTCTCGAGGTTTTGTTCTGGTTTCAAGTGTACATGGCTCCTTGCCATCCGATCTGAAAATCTCATGGCCCTAGTGT